GAGAGAGAGAGAGAGTTTATTCTGAAGTATATTATGTCATTGTATAGCAAATTGAAAAAATGAGAAACGCACGTGTTTACGTGTGGAGCCATCTATATTAGGAATGACTTCGCTGTTATAATCGTCTTCGTCCGTTGTGCTATCTGATAATTCTAAAGGACATGAGACATTCTTTAAATATCCCATGTATTTTTTATCAAAGCTGGACTTTGTAGGATGCATATATGTCGTTAACAAATTATTGTCCGCTGTCGCATATACTGTCATAAAACATACAGCAAGCGCATGATCGTCCGAAAATTCAATGGTCAAACAAAATGATATGGGCTGATCGCTCTTGAATGTTATTCTCGCTTCAAGTTCCACGTACCTTTTTGCAATAAAAATAATATTTTAAATATTTTAAATATTTTCACTTACAGAATATTGATGAAAAAAATATTGATTCTCTGCAAAATAAGTTTAGATTTATATGGAGGACCTCTCCCTCATTTTAAATTTCGCTTTGCTTATATATTTATATTTTTTTAAATGTTGTTTTTAATATTACTAATGCCTATTTATATAATTCAAATTTGCAAGCGAAAATAATTGCAACTCACGATTGGGGAGAGATAGCATTGCCATTAAGGAACTCAACGCGTAATAATTCGTCTTTGTAATCACCGCTGCATCGCTGCGTCGTCGTCAAGAAGTTCGGCCGTATAAACGTCGTGTTATCAAAGTGCTTCGCTCGGATCCTAAACTTTTCCTCTATCGCCGTGCCGAGAGGAACAGGCGTAAGATATATCTCCGTCGGCACTACGTCGATCGAACTGGCGGGAAACTCGCCGTCGAGACGTAATTTATTGAAGATGCCGTCGTCGAGCTCACCGCGAACGTATATCGGTGCCTCCGCACTAAAGCTGCCGCGTTTCCTCGGCTTGAACTCAAGAACGAAGAAGACTCTATCGCCAGGACGTAAGGTGCACTCGATCGAATCTGGTGATCTCCTAATCTCGGCGCCGCGAGACCACTTTATGGTGAACGGGCAATTAACTTTATTAAAATCCTCGATGTTTATCGACATCGCTACTTCTCTCGATGTCGCCCGATTTTCTATAAACAGCTCTTCGGACAGCTAATGCGAAACGAAAGAATACATTTGAGGTGCCTTAATTATATATAGAAATGTATTTTTATATGTATTAATTATATGAAATTTGCACTTATAAATGTATAAGAATAATAATTATTTTCCTTTATTCTATAAAAAAATTTTTTTTGACATTTTTCTCTCTACGTCTTTATCACTGTTTGAATAATTTATTTGTTTATAAATAAATCAAATTGATGTAATATATCGAGAAGTTTTAAAAGAATTTCAAGAATTCTGAAATAAACGTAAAATGTTTTGTAAACTCACAATTTTAAGAAATGTCTTTTATTCAAAGTTTAGAAGAAAGATTTGTCTGACTAAGAATGAATAGCCTGACTGTGAGCATGTCAAATACAATAGGTACAATATCGAAATTTTTGGCTGCACAGCAGACAAAATATTCATTTACATAACAATCGGAAGTTCAACCTTTTTCCTTTACACTAGATTTATATTCACCGATTTTTCATCAGGCTAACTTTCAAAGTTGAATATTCAAATAAAAACGTACTTATTCAAAATATTATTGTAAATGTAATTTTTAAAGAAGTGGTAAAAATACTTCTAATTATACAAAAAAACCGAGAAAAATTTAGAATTTACATTAAAATTATAACTTGTAGGATAAATTTTCAATTTGTACATCCGGTTTTATTCTCAGAGAGAAAGACTTTATCGATAATGAAAAAAATTTTGTTAATTTTAAAATTGTGTCATTGTGCTGTTAACAAAATGTAATATCTGAATCAATAAAATGAAAATTTTCAAATTTTGCGGAAGAAAATAATTATTCTGTTTTGATTTGCGCTTGATAAGCCAATAATTATATATTATATCATATAT